TGTCTGTTTTCATTGGTCTAAGCATGTTTGTCTGTAGTAGCCCTTCTTCCCCTCCTGTCTGTTAGAAAGCGATCGATCAGGCCAGGCATTGTGGCTCACTCCTGTAATCCTAGCACCTTGGGAGGCCGAGGTGGGAGGATCACTTGAGGCCAGGAATTCAAGACCAACCTGGACAACATAGTGAGGCCTCATCTCTACAAAATTAAAAAATTAGCTAGGCATGGTGGTGTTCACCTGTAGTCCTAGCTACTCTGGAGGCTGAGGTGGGAGGATCACTTGAGCCTGGAAGGCAGAGGTTGCAATGAATGGATATCATGCCCCTGTACCCAGCCTGGATGACAGATGAGACCTTGTTGCAAAAAAAAAAAAAAACGAAAAAAAGAAAAAGAAATCAATCTGTTGAACTTGTGGGAACTGTAGACCACAAAAAGATCAGGAAAGTCACTGGGGAGGGACTTGGGCCACATCCAGATACTTTACTGCCTGGGCTCAGCCATCCACTCTGACTTCCTTGAGGTCTTTTCTGCTTCTGCTTACCACTCAGTGAGCTGAGATGAGCTGACAAGTATATTCTGTGGATAATTAAGGTTTATTATTTAAATTATATGTCACTTATTAAATATTCTTGATAAGTTTTAAAATGAAAGAATAGAACATTTTCTACTTTTCACTTTAAAAACAATTAGGCATTTACTTACATTGATACAGATAGTGTATGTACATTGTGTGTGTCAACAGAAAAGAGGTTCTTCAATAGGCCTGCCTGCTGAGGAACAGCAAGATACCTTGGTAGACTTTCCTTCTGACTTCAAGTGTGTAGCAAATCGTGGCGATCCCTGGGCCTCCCACTTACCGCCACCTAGGCAAGGATATGGATAGGCGAAGGCCGAGGCTCTGTAGAACTGGACCTTGAGACAAGGTCCTCTTATTCCCGCCCTCCAGTCTCAGGTGTGTCCCCAAAAAGGCTGGGGTACAAGGTGATGACACCATCGGCCTAATGGATGTGTTTTGTATCCTGTCCCCAGAGCCTGGTCACTCTCCGTACAGCCGGGCAACTCTCCCCAGCGGGCAGCGAGGCTTCATGGTGCCAGGCCTTAAGGGCCGTAGAAAGTCGGGTGTGACCTCTGCTTTCCGGCTGGGTTGCTGTGAGGGGCTTGGCAGTGGGTGTAGCTGATGCACTGATATGCTCATTGCCAGGGAGGCAAGGGGCTTGAGGTGGAGCCAGCGGCCTCCGGAGATGTTGCTAGTTGGTCTGAAGGGGGCAGCATGGAACTCAGTCCCCTCCCTATGGCTTCTGCACGAGGGCCCTGGGCCAGGTGTGCTAATGCATTGCATCATGGGTGGTACTGCTCCGGCAGGGCTGGCAGCCACAGCGGGGGTCCTGGAGATGGATGGGCCCGCCTCCCTGTCCGTAGGTGCAAGGGGCTTGGCGACATTGTGGAAGGCAGCCTCCCTGGGGCCTATGACTGTAGAGGGGGGCAAGCCAGAGTGGACTTTGAGCTGGTGATGGGCTGGTGGCGCTGTGAGCTTGGGACCCAGCCAGGCACGGCAGTTTCCTGGCCCGTGCTGACTCTGCCCATGCTTTCCTCCTCAGAGCCAACCAAACACCTGCTCAGGCAACTCAACGAGAAAGGTGAGTGTGTGAGGTGGCCAGCTATTCCCAGAGAGGGGGGAAGGAGGAGGGGAAGCAGCCGACAACCTAGGGGTTGACCTGAGGGTGGGGGATTGTCAGAATAGTGTAGAAGGGTCTCTGCCTCCGTTCTCCCCTGGAAGAGGGCCTCGCCCCTGGCTGGCTGAGGAGAGGGGCTGGAGCTCTCCCCTATGCACAGGCCTCATGCCCTTTTCTCTGGAAACAATGAGAACCGAGCAACAGGCACAGACCTGTGCTGCTCTGTGGCCCCTGGGCCCCTGCTCTGTCAGTCATTCTTTTGAAAGCACAGGAGACGAGGTGAGGGTTCTGGGAGCAGGAGCCCCCAGTGAGGCCTTCCCCAGAGGGCTGTCCAGAGGTCTTTCTCCTGCTTACTGATCTCTTCCCCTCCCCTGCCCCTCGCCGGTGTGTTGGGGACCCGGTGGTGATGTCCGCAGCCCGAGCAGCAGGAATGAAGGTAAAGGCCAGTGGGAGGAGGGGACTGGCTGACAGAGGAGGGTGGGACTGCCCAGGTCAGCCCCTGGCCCCTTCAGCCCTCATTGTCTTCATTCATTCAACAAATGCCTGCTGAGCACCCACTGTGTACCAGGCTGTGTGGCATAGGGCCACAGAGATGAAGAAGACATGGGCCTTGCCCTGGGGGCCCTTTTGCACCCTCTTCCTAGAACAGCACCCCGCTGGGGGCCTGTCCAGCATGGACCTGCTCAGATTTTCCTCTCTCTAGGGTAGACAAGTAGGCAGGCCTCTTTGGGTTCTGAATTTTTGACCAGGTTACAGCCTTTCCACCATGAGAACGCCCGCCCCTCCCTGGACCCCAGTGGAGACCTGAGTTGGGCATCTAGGTGTGGCTTTCTGTGTGAAGCCTCCCCACCCACAACTGCCTGCAAGAGGACAGGAGGTTGCCCAAGAGGCTGGTCACGAGGGGGTCTTGTGCTCTGAACAGCATGCAGGCAGTGCTGGCACCCTCCTGGACTTTGGGCAGCCCTCTCGTGCTCGGGGCCTGCAGCCAGAGGCTGAAGGGGCTGCCCAGGAGGAGGAAGAGGAAGAGGAGGAGGTGGTGGAGGAGGAGGAGGAGGAGGAAGAGCAGGCCTTTCAGGTCTCTCTGGAGGACCTGACAGGGCATGAAGGCAACGAGAAAGGGGCTGGGCCGAAGCCCCCAGGCTCAGAGGAGGAGGAGGAGGAGCAGGAGGAGAGCCTGGCGGTGGCGGAGCAGGTAGCTGACTTTGCCAGCTCCCTGCTGGCCGCCCTCCACTGCTGGCACTATCGGGCCAACGCTTTACTTTTCTCCCGGGGCGCTATGGTGAGGTGTCTCTTCGATCTCCCCTCCTCCTTGCATGCTCCCTGGGATGTGCATGCCCACCCAAGGGCCCCCTCTGCTGCCCTCCCCACCCCACCCTGCCCTAGTTTTACTCCTCCCCTCAGCACTTAACACCCTCGCTCGCTGTCACACCCTGGTGAGCCCCTGGCATGCTCTGTTCCAGTACTGGGCACTTATCATTATAACGCCCAACAAGCATGACAAGTGGGGTGGGGCGGTGGGGGCAGGGAGAAGCTAGCACACAGTGGGGCTGGAAAGGTCAAGTCTACTTTGTCTGGATGGAAAGGTGGGCCGAGGTTTTCTGAAGCTGCATGCCTGACAAGGCTTTCTGCAGCCCTAGGCCTGGCATTCAGGTTGGCTCTGGAATGGCTCAGGCCCAAGACTGGCTCTCAGCTCAGCCCAGCCCCTTGGGGCGTGGGAGGCGCTGCCTGTGTTGGGATGCAGAAGGGATCAGCTTCCAGTTGTCTTGGAGTTGATGACTGACCTCTACCTCTGCAGGGAAAGGGGCGCAGGGAGTCTGAAGGCTCCAGGAGCAGCAGAAGGCCCAGTGGTCGGTCTCCAACCAGTGCTGAGAAGCGCATGAGCTTCGAGTCCGTTTCTTCCCTGCCAGAGGTGAGCGACCAGCAGGTGGGATGGGGATAGCA